GAGACAGAGTCTCACTTTGTTGCCCACATCAGCTTCAGAGTGCTGTGGCATCACAGCTCACAGCAACCTCAAACTCTTGGGGTTCACATGATTCTCTTGCCTCAGCCTCCCGAGTAGCTGCGACTACAGGTGCCCACCACAACGCCTGGGTATTTTTAGAGACAAGGTCTCACTCTGCCTCAGGCTGATCTCAATCCCGTGAACTCAGGCAATATACCTACCTCAACCTCCCAGAGTGCTAGGATTACAGGCATGAGCCACAGAGCCTGGCCTATAGAGTGCTTTGTTTTTAACTTAGCAGGTATTTCTAGAAGTGAGAAATAAACGACTTTTATATTTGATCAGATTCATCATGAAATGATAGGCGCCATCTTAAATATGAACAGTAGCACTTTCTGCCACAACATGAAGCAACCAATTGTACAGGTTTTCTGAATGTTGTGGGTTTTCTCAGGCCTCAAGTCAGCAGGATCAGTCCATGCCCATCTAAGGACAGAAAGCCACGACTAACTTTTCCCCTTGCAGGCCTGCTCAGGTGACTTTCAGAAGCCTGGTCTTGAGGGGCTGGAGATTCACCAGCGTTAGGTGAGTCTGGAGCAGCAGCTCTTGGGACACAGCGGAGTGAGGGCTGGGTGGGCTTTCCCTGTCCCCTGAGGTGGCCAGGTACCCAGCCAAGCAGGAACCAGATTGGCACTGCGCCTGCTCTCTAGAGGGCGGTCCCACCTTCCTCATGTACCAACATGGCCACATGTGCAGGACAAGAGAAGAAGAGCGGGGGACTTGCCCACTCTTCTATTTTTATGCCCAGAGTGGATGGAAAGCAGTTTATTCTCCCCTCAGCTGGCGTCAGTTCCTATATTTCCCAAACACAGAGCATGTCATGGCAACGAGGAGGATTCTAGAGGCTAGATCTCTTTTTTCATGTAATTAAGAAAACCTGGAAATTACTGGATATACTGTACACACATTACTATACTAGGTATATACACAGACCACAAATTCTGTCTTATGCGGGTTATTTAAGGGCTTTTCAAGGGTTTTTTTTTTACTGCACCCAGCTGTATCACATGCACAGATGGGAGAGCACGCCCCAGCACTGCTCTAATGCTGTGTAGACTTTTCCTCAACTTGATGAACTGTTTGGACTGGGCTATTTGAAACCATGACACTGCAGTGAAGCCACACAATCGTTCCTTTGGCTCTTTTATTAGGCTTGTCTTCAGAGGCAGAAATGGCTTAAATGGGACTTTGTGACTGAAGAAGCTTCCAATGGAGCAGAATCCCACGATCCCACAGCTGCTTGTTTTTTATGTGAAACAGGCCTTGGAGGTTCATGGAGGCGTTTTTATTTTTAAAGTGGCACATTTATAAAGAATGCCCTTTACATATGAATTAAAGAAAAGTGTACAAACATCAGATGATTAAAGTGTCTCTGAGGAAGTGACTTCAAACCACACAAGCATCTGGTCTCTTCCTGCCTGTGTGACCCCTACCTGTCCCGCGCTGGTCAGGCCTGACTGGTGTGCTGCTGCCTGGAGAGCTCCTCAGCTCAGAGACTGCTGGGGTCCCTCAGCATTGTCTTGTCTCAGGAACTCATGAGATTCTCTTCCTTTGACTGATGGAGATTACAAAATTCTTGGATTCCTGGAAAACAAGATGAGAGCCACAGAGCGCTGGCAGCTTGTCCAGCCCTGGGCAGCCCTGCCATGTGCTGAGGGCAGCTGTGCCTTGACTGGGGTGGAATCCCAACAGCCTAATCCCATTGAATGCCCTGTTTCTGGGATCCCCTGAATCTTCAAAAGTGACCCAAATACCTCATCCTGTCCACCATGGTTATAACCCATAGCCAAAGGCCTAACATTGGCCCAATCTATAAATGGAGAATTTGGGGAATGCTGTTGTTGTCCTTAACTCCATTTTTCTAGGCAAATAAAAACCCAGACAAACTAAGAGGCTTTACCTACCGATACCTCTGCCTTAAATCCTAGCTTGTCAGCTGAATCTGGCCTGCACCAGGTGGGCTCACTAAA